ATTGGAAACAATTTGTACAAGCAAAATATTCTTTGAGTGAGCCAACTATTGTAGGAGTTATTTTTATAGTTTATAACTAATAATAATAATAATTAAAGTGAATAGATTGATTATATTTTAAAATTCCATTTGTCATGAAACAAAATCAGGACTTGCTATAAGGAATAATATTTTCTATAATATAACTCCCTAACATTTTGAAGCCAAAGACAAACGAATTAAATGCCAATTGCGACTTTCTTTAGCCATAAATATTTCACTTGTCATTCAATGCACATTAAATAAATAATTTCAAATACAACTGCCAAGAAATAACTGGGTGTGACCCTTAGGTGAAATTCCAAACAACTTCATATGTAATATTATCATTATGATACTATTAAAACTCGTTTAAACATTAGACTTACCATAAAAAGGCGTTAGAAGAATTTGCTAGGCCTGCAAAGAAAAAGAAGTAAAAGAACCATTAAAAATAGATTTGATATGGAGTTCATTTTCACCAGCTATAAAAAATCGTTCAATGGAAACTACTTTTAGTGCTTATTCGCCAGTGCATTTATTGCACTCATATGCATTTTTTTTTATTATTGTTATTCGAGCTTGGCTAGGTTGCCCTCCGTCATTTAGAGAATCTCTAGCCAACTATTTAGCACAAAAATGATATAAAAACTATGCGCTTAAAGTGGCCCACATTTCTATTGATGGGTTCAAGAAGCTAACGACAAACTTAAGAATTTATTATTTATATTATATTAAGAATGTTAAACATGAACGAGAACTAAATCATAGTCTGCCAATCTATGTTATCTATTCATCCCATAATTCATTATATTTTTATAGTTCAAATGAAAAATAAGAAAGTAATACAATCTATCTATTTAATCCCTTTTGCAGATATGTGAAGAATAGTGAAGCTCATAAATGCTGAGTTTGATGAAAATATTTTGAAAGACACAATATTTTGAAATGCTAGAAACTGATATTCCACCGATTGTTTCTATGGCAGCAATATGATATAGTGGTCCGATGTAGATAACTTGCATATATATGAAGAGTATAGTGGAATTTATACATTTTCACTTGTGCACAAAACCTAATTTTTCGACCGATCGTTACTGTGGCATTTTTATGTTATAGTGGTCCGACCCTGCCTGTTCAGACATACGTACTGCCTGTAACAGGAAGACGGAACTTTATAAAGTTTCAAGACGAAAGCTGTATCAAATCGGTTGATGCTGATCTAGCATATATATACTTTATGGGGTAACTCCTTCCATGCGATACACATTTCATGACAAAAAAATACCCAGTTATTCAAAATTAAACGCATATTAATTACACAAACTAATTATAATTTATAGACATTTTTCATTTGCCAAGGGCTTACTTTATTTCTAGAGACAACATTGCATGAGAATCAACCAAAGTGCATTTATCTAAAAATTATTCTAGAAAATAAATAAAAATTTTGAATGGAACGCAAGTGTGCCAAGTTATGAGACGATTCAATCCACTTATGATGAATGTTTCTGCACATAAGTGACAGCCCAAAATGGCCCAGAAGCAACCCCATTACCACAATCTCGGCGCTAGCCCGCCCCCGCTCAACGTTTTAGGAGCTGCATCAAATGCAGTCGATGTTTAAATCTATTTTTTTTCTCAGCCAAGTGAAATTCCTCAGCCTCAGCCAGGCAGCAAGCAGCATAAAAATAGTCACAAATGTTGCTATTTTTTTTTTCTTTCGATTTGACAGCTCAAAAAAAAATAATAAATAGCAAAACGCCCAAGTAAAAACACTCGAAAATTATAGAAAAGAAATATGCAGGCAGAGCATTGAAATACGAGCATAACGAATTTGCTGCCAAGTGTGATAAAACCAACAAAAGATCAAATTAATAATGATTGAAAAAGTTGTTAGGTTCTCGGCAATTAAAATTGATGAGGCACATTTTGTATGCGAATTATTATTGTATTGATGGGGCTGTAGATACATACATCATTTACCCGCTGGCCAAATTCTTGACAAATTTGCACAGTTTTTCTTTTATTTTTAAGAAAAATAGTTTTGATACCCTGTACACATTAAAAATTGCGTAAAAAGGGTGACGTGGTGTTTGGGTAAATGTAGGCATGAGTTGACATTTTAGTCTGTCAAATAATTTATATAGTATACTCGAGGAATATACTAGAAGAATATATATTCTTAATCGAAACAATAAGCTGAACGTGTGTCCATTTATTAAAAATATAAGATGTTAGAATTAGTGTTTAGATTTAAACTCAAAATCTTAAATTACTTCTCATTTTTAATTATAATCCATTTTCTGAGTAAATCGTGACTGTAATTGTTTAAAGCAAGAAATTTAGCTTGTGTATATTTGTTATTTATCGAAATAATATTAAATTAGTTGGAATAGAGATCTGATTGTCGGTATACGCAAAAGTTTTAATGTCCTCAGCATGTCCCGAACTTTGTAGGATTAACCGGCAATAAAAACAAAAGTTATTGAAGATAAATTCTAGTGCCGAGCAGAGAGAAACCTTTAAAAGAAGCAGAGCATCCTTTTTGTCAAACACTCCCGAATATAATACTCTCGGCATTTGTTTGTGGTGGCAAAGTTTTTACTTAAAATCTTAAGAACTTTGTTCCAAACTTATATAAAAAGATTCCTGTAAAATACCTTCCTTTTATTTTTTAGTTAATATTGATGATATGCGTTAGGAAAAACAATATATAACATTTGATTTTCGGCTGCCGCATAAGTTTTAATAAGCTCAGCATGTCATAAAAATGTTATGATTAACGGGCAAAAGGCACAAAGTTTAGTTAAGATAGATAAACCTTTAGAATAAGCAGAGCATCATTCTAGTCAAGCAGTCCCGAATTTAACACTCTGGACATTTGTTTGTGCATTTGGGGCCTCGCACATTTGCTGTTTCAATTAAGAAACTTGGCCGTCGTCGTCGTCTTTTTGGTGTGCAAAAATAAACATTTTATTGCCCGCATGGCGCCAAAGCGCAAGAAGTGCGTCCGGATGGATCACTTTGAATCTCTTGTATCTTTGGGAACGACAAACCGACAAACGGTCTCAATTGCCACGCGAAGGCGCTTATCTGGAAAGCTGCGCCAAAGATTCACGAGTTTTGTGCAATTTATTTCAATTGCCAGCCGTCGCAATAAATGCTAATAACTTTGCAATTAAGGCACCAAAATACATTTAACGCAAAGCAAAGTGATTAAAATTTTGTTTAGAATAAATGCGAATCACAAGATGGAAGAGTAGCATCATCATCCAAATGATGATTGTCTCTAGGTCTTAATCTGAACATCAAACGTTGCCACACTCAACTCAAAGGGTCTTTTCTTTCTGTTTTTTTTTTTCTTCAGAAAAACCAATGGATCATTTGTTCAATTGCTCATAAACATCAACGAGGCGGGCCATGAATGGCAAATTTGAGTTGCCAAAACCCCCAACGAATTTTTAACGGCGGAGTGTGTAGTTGTTGTTCATAAATAACCAGGGAATTTAATGGTGTGCCAAAGCGATAGGACAATAGTTTCAAAATAATTAATAATTTTTGTAAGGAATATAGTTAAATTAGCTTAAGTAACAAAAGGACATACCATATCGATATAGAACTAAATTTGTTTGCATTTTGATAAAAAATAAAATAAAATATATTTGTCATAAATAATGTATTTGCTTCAAATTGTAGTTTTGGCAATAAAGTGACGAGGGGGAACGTTCTGCAACAATTATCGATAATGAAAATGTTATGCATCTGAGGCAAATTTAAACTTTAATGGATAGGCATGCAAGCAATTATAATGATTCCAAGTGTGTTCACAATAAACTGACCAATGAGAACGTTTATCAATAATTGCTATCGAGAACAAACAAAGAGCATGACGCAGCACTTGAACGAAACAAACTCCAAACAGCTGTTCACGCATCTCGACACTCAGAACACTTTCCACAGCAGTAAATCACAGTAATTGCCAAAAAGTAAACACACACTGGCACAACATTGTCACAACTTTCTACTACTAACCCAGTTAAATTGTTCAATGACACGTATGAGACGTGTGCCCAGGCCTAGACCTTCAACTTATGTCTAAAAGGGGTGTGAGGGGGGCAAATTTAGTATAGTGGGGGCAAAGTCTTTATGGCATTATGGGCATATGGTCACGCGGCTGCGTTTCGGCCACTTTCTTCATTCATCAAAAATACATAAAGCCCGCGTACATTTCACCAGAAATATGCAACGCACCAAAGAATACGCTATAGAATGTTCGTATCGAATAGATATATATTACATACAATATATATATATGTGTGTGTGTGTGTTTGTGTGTGTCTAAATGAAAAGTTAATCAAAGACCTGACAATAACAGCGACAGGGCATACAAATTGAAAAGAAACACAAAATCAACGGCTCAAGAAACGATTACAAAGCTCAAAGAATGGAATCCGGGGGAAGAAAAATACTGCGTGACAGTATTACTAATTATGCTTAAAGTAAACAAAAACAGCAACAACAACAAAAACAAACAACAAGCAACAAGCAGACGTCACACAACACAATGTGACAGCTTGAAAGTTTCGTTCGTCTCTGCAAAAGAGAAAAACCAAATTAACTCACTCGAAAACCAAATAAACCAGCATATAGGTATATGTGTATATACATATACACTCCGCATTCTGACAAATTTATGACAAACAAACTCTGCAGCACTACTAAACAACCCGCCAACAACAGTAACAATAACAACAACAAGAACAACAAATCATTAAATGTCAAGTGCAGTTCATCGTCCATATTGGAACTTTCATATTAGTGTTGTTTATTGCGCTTTACAATTAGTTTATGCTTTTTGGGCTTTGAATAAGTATTTTCAAGTCACTTTTCTTATTTATGCATGTTACTAATTGGCAAAGTAGGCAAGCCGTCTGTTAACTTTGACAATCATAGGTAAGACTCAAGTCTTAAAACACAAATTTTATTGTTTCGACTTTACATTCTGAAATTCCCTAACATTTAAAACATTTAAGTATCATTTCAGTTCTCGATCCACGTTTTATCTAAAGATAGAAAAATAGCTGATGCTCCTAGTATCGAAGCTACATTCTCATAGATTCAAGATATGCATAGCCCATAAATAAATAATATTTTCATATAAATTTTCCATTTCTGGATGGATCTATAAAAACAAGGGCCAGTCATCTTTATTGGCCTAGACAATCTAGTTAGGTAAAGTTAACTTATCGGCCGAAACGTTAAGAATGTCAAGTTCCAGGCGTTGCTCAGTTCCGCAAAATATGTTATCAGCGAATGTCAAAATGATAAGAGAGAAGTCTATGGGTAACTTTTAGTTATATATTAAGAGCAAGCTGCATAGTTGACCAAAGCGGAAATTGGCTATTAGCCGGGCCCAGCTGTTGGCGTGTTAACGAACCGAGTCATGCCTAGGGCCAGTGTTGGGCAACATCAATACACGCAGACAAAGATCAACAAACAATATGAAATGACAGACAAACAAGTTGAGGCGCACAGGGCCATGGCACAGGGGCCGCAGCTAGGGCGGGGCTGGGCTGATCAATGGCTGTTCATTCAATTTAGTGTGCAAAGCGTAAACTGATTGTGATCGACGGACTGGACAGCGAGATGCAGACCGTGCGGTGCAGTGAACTTTCAGCAAGAAAAGGCCAACAAACGCAACATGGCCAGGAGAGAGGGAGAGAAAGAGGCAGAGAAAAAGAGAGAGACGCGCGGGCAGCAGCAGAGACACGCATATGGTCAACAATGTATTGAGCGGCGTGCAGGGAGTCCAACTAATAACAAACAACCGGCTTTTTACATGTGGTAAGAGCGGTTGCAGGGGATCGGAGCTCAAACTGCGGCTAACTTTTGTTTACTTTGTGCTGCGAGTGCAGGCAACAATTTTCGTTGCAGCCACAAAACTTGTTGCCCCGCGTTGCTGTTGTTGTTGTTGTTGTTGTGGGGCATGCGCATAAGTCACTACACAAATTGCGCAAATTCCACACTCACACACAGACACACACACACACACACATAGCCATCTGTTGTCAGTTTGCAACACTGGCCCCGATCGTCATCGGCTCTGAGGTGAAGGCCGCCGCATCGTTGCTGCATAATTGCAGCCAACTCTCCTCCAAAAAGACTCTCCAACGAGTTGGCCATAACGAATTCACAATAATGCGCATTTTATTAGATTTTTCTTGTGTTTTTTTTTTTTTTCATTTTTCTTTGTGCCGCGCGCTCTGCTCTCACTCTGAGTGCATTTTCCGCTTCAACACGATTTTCATTTAAGTTTCCCAAAGCGTTGCCCTTTGGGTCTTGTGTCTGTGTGTTTTCCAGGAAGGAAATGTGTGAGCGTGTGGTTTTTTGTTTTTTTTTGCATAGCTTGTGGTGCTTGACGTGTGAGAGATTGTGGCATTGGCTTAGGGTTGTCAGGTTTCCTTTCTTATACCAAATGCCCTGAGACATTTGTGAAATTGCATTTGAAAAGTGCACACATGCAGGTAAAGGAATGGATTTCACAAAGACAACCGAGAGAAACAAATAACTAAAAATCAATAAGGAATGCTTAAGAGGAAAACTTTGAAGTATAGTTCATATTGTTTTGGAATAGTTCTTATTTTCGAGATGCTGAAGATCATATTATGAGAAAACGATGAAACCTGTGCCTATTCGGAGGACTACGTCCAGTTTAGCTAAAAACTTAATGCAACAATAATAGTCTCTTTCATAATTAATAATTTATGCTTTACAGCCTTACGTCTACCTATGTGACGCTGCAGCCTTCTTCAAAAAAGCCGCCTTTCAAGCAGGCTTGTCAAAATATCACCTAGGTAAACTGTGTTTTAATAAAAATGTATGCTACTTTTTACTCAATACAATAAACAATTATAAAAAAAAAGTTATAAACAGTAAAAAGAAGCTCTCGCATTTAACTAAGAACTTTAGAATAAACATTAATCATATTTACAAATATTATTTTCTTATTTTACGCACACATAGTTTAGTTAATAAGATATTAAATAAATAAATGTTTTCTCATATTTCTAAATATTATATCTGCAATTCGTTTTATTTATATCCTATTCAGACTGGAACAGTTACCTTAACTTAAGCAAACGTTTGCGCTCTTTAACTTTTGCGAACCCTAACCCACATTTTTGAATTTCTTTTTTGATTTTTACAACTCTCCCTGCTCTATTTACAGTGCCCACGCATTGACTGATTTCCACTGGAACAATATATATGTTAGAAACAAAAGAAAGAGCACGCACAGTCTTTCAATTAGCGTGGGGTCTACCAAAAACCGATCTTCCATCGTTTTAACTGCACCATTCGACTGTGGCTGATGTGATTCAGGGTTAGGGGGGAGTGGGGCATGTCCATGGCAGACGCCAGCATAAAGAGTGGGTCTTGCAATTTCCAAAGCGCATCCAACAAACGGGCAAACAATTCAACTGCCATTTATTTTATTTATTACTGTTGCGGCTTTCGTGTTGCTGCTTTAAACTGGCTTCATAGAAATAAAAGTGAAACTTTTCACAGGAGGAGAAAATGTTGCAAAATATCGCGATGAGGTTTTCATCGTTTATTTGCAAGTACTGTGCAATTCGGACAGCTGATAAATAAATTAGTAATGTTCGATTGAAGTTGAGTTTTATTGAAAATTAATAGATTAATTAAAAGATAAAGCAAACCTTTAAGTATTTGTACAAATAGTTCACAGCTAAAAACTGGCAATCGAAATTAGATATGCATTTAAGCACAATGTCAATTGAGCAATGTAATCGGTAATCGGTAATCGGAGATCAAAGGTTTTGGTTTTTATTTTCGTGTTATTAACAGATCGGTCAATGTGGCCAGGCGTAATACGAGCCCATTTATCAAAAACAAAACAAAAAAAAAAAGAAAAGAAAAAAAGGTGGAGAATTGAATACCGTAGGACAGGCTCGAAAATTATGCGTTAATTAACATGACAGCATGTGGGGGCAGCAGTAGTGATAAAGTCGACCAGAGTTGAGAGTGGAAAAAGCTCGAAGGTTGCAGGCATCGAGATCTGGTTTATAACGCCTTCTATAAATCGACATTGACATGTGACCCCAGAGACGCCGTTGACCTTCGTAGCAGCTAACACCGGCAGCAGCTACAGCAATAAAATAAAAGCTGGCGCAATAACTCAAAGCCTTAATTAGGCATATCAGTGGAACAGAATATAAAAAACAGATCGATCACAGCAATTGTAAATTGTAAATTGCATTTAGTGCCTATTACCTAATTCTCAATTGAAGAACAAAGGCTCATCAATTAAGTCCAAAGTGCTTGAAAATAAACAAATTCCACAACATTCACTGACAGATAACGAGCAAAAAATATAATAAAAAACCAAGTGTTAATTCAATTTAATAGGTAGCGCTTATCAGAATGCTCAAAACTAAACGCTCATTAGTAAAGCACCGAAATTTATAATATGTATAACAAGCAGACAGACTTATGTCAAGAATTTCCGATTGCAATATGCCTTGTGCTAAGCGTGAAGTTTTAGATAGGGCTCGATTTCGGTTAACTCACTTCTAAAGACCGTTTAAATATTTAACTGATTAAACTGACTGACTGATTGGTTAATTCATCATTATTCATTATTACACAGACACTTATAAATTTGAATTTTTCAGAGTATATTAATTTATGCATAAGTAGCATAATCCACCAACAAAAGTGGAAATAGATGAAACTCTCAAGACGACAAAATTCAAAACAATGTGCAAAATTATTTTTAACGTGTTTTCTAAATTCCACACACTCGTAAGAAAATGGGTAAACTGAAAAATAAATAAATTGATTGTGAAATGTTATCTGATAGAAAAACGAAAATCAACCAATTTAAGCAAAAGAAAAACTTTAGTTTTGGTTTGTGGGTTTCAAGGTGATATGGCCTTAATTGTTAACTTTTATTTCGGCTTGGGCAAAATGTGGTAACATCAACTAAATCACGAGCCATTTTTAGTAAATCACCTTTGTAACATTCCCATTAAAGAATTTGAATTGGAACCCAAATCTTAGCACGACAGTGCCGAGATTTTACAATTTGCGACGTTGCCCAATTTCATTTGTGCAACTTAACTGCACTTTGCAGTGTTGCATAGCGTTACGTTTTTAGCATTTGCTCTAATTGTACGAACAATGTTTACTCGGCAAATAAAACACTTTGAGCAAAGGTAAACATGAGACTTAATTGCTACAAAAAAGTAAACATAAAAAATGCAGTTTTTTTTTTTTAGTTCAGCCACAGAGAGCACCTGGAGGGCGCTTAGGGCGTTGTGCCGCTAAACAAATATGACTGATAATTGCTGATAAACGTTGCGCCCAGCTTGATAGTATGTATATATATGTATATATATCTATATATACTACACTGTCGTCGATCTGCAACTGTTTACTTTAATCAAATAATAACACACTCATGTGCCGTTGCAGGCACTTCAAATCAATTGAGGCGCAGCTGTAGGTGCAATCAGAGTTCTATTTGCATAAATGGGCCAGCTGAAAGACATCGGCATCGCGTTTCATTATATCAACGATAAGAACCAACTTCAAGGTGCGAATACCGAACACAGTTATACTTTGAACGGAAATCAGGCAGCTGAGAGCTGTGAGAGATTCTTGCTTACAGAGTGGCAGTAAATTAAACTCGTACCGTGTTACACATATAGAATTAAGTTAACGAGAGATAGGGGTTTATACTGTAGCACAGTAAGTGCAGTAAATAGTGGTACTGTAAATACTAAAAAGCTAACTAAATTATGATACGCTTGACTGGCCATAAACTCGTTCAACATTTAAGCCCTTTCAAGACGAGGACATATTAAATCTTAAGTCACATCTACAGGGCACACGCATGGAGAAATCTGTCAGGCTTTGCTTCGCACAACGTGCTTTTCACAAGGCATCTGTAAAAAGCTCACCAATACACATCTAGGCGTTCTTTAACAGAACTTTTACAGGCTCTGTATACTAAAACATCTTTTAATTGTCATTAATAATAATATTGAATACGAAGCTTTTTTAGCCGAAGTGCTGATCATGTTTCTTCAAGCTTACATCCAAACAAGGCGCACACACAACGAAAGCTATCAAGCTCCATTGCACACTTTGTTTTATAAAAGCTCATTAAAAGGTCAATAGCGCCATTTATCCCTTTAAAGTTCGCCAAAACATTGCTTCGGAAATTACACCCACAAAACACACGCTTTTAAGCTCTGTTTCCGATCAAAGCATTTTGTAACACGCTCACTTACACACGTGCATGATTTGTCACTTACTTTACCTTTCATCTGGACAACCTATTTCGCCCTACCTTTGGCTTTCTTAACCACACACACGAACATACAGCTTTAACCTCAATATGAACTTTGCCTTACGCATTAAATATTAAAAACTTTACGAGGCATTTGTGTAACATGCGCTGGCGCACAACTTGACGCGTTGAGTTGTCTAGAAACACTGAGCGAGGACTTTTCCTGCCTGTGCAACAATTGATAAGGCACCGCAAATGGGAGTCAAGTGGGAGCTGGCTGTGGTTAGGATACGCTTTAGGGCAGGATACAAAAGCCATACTGAAAGCCATTTACATGCCAAAACTTCAGCTAACCCATTTCGAGAGCATATAAAATGAGATGCTGTATATGCACCATACGGCTGTATGTGCAATATAGCAATATATATGTAGTATATGTAATTATATATATAAAGGTATACTTCGGACACACACATATATATATATATATATTTTTTTATAGGTCATAAGCTGTGTACTTCGTTGCACTCGTTATTATCCTTCGGGAGCCGACGCGCCCATATTAAGCAGAAAAGGCTGACAACAGCTGGTGTGCATTTAACATTGCTTTAACAGGTTCTGTTAGCTGGTAACATATTTGTACATAATGTATCTGTATCTGTTACAGTACATGTATCTGTATCTATACCCGTTTATGTCGATTTATGTCGGTCAACATTTGTACGCAAACACATTGCAGCTCCTACAAAAAGACGAAATGTTTTCTGTTTGTATGTATTTTATAATTAATTATCACCCACTCTTGGGGCTAGGTCAACAGACAAATTTCAGACAAAATTGCTTGCAATTCGCTAAGGGAAAAATGTTTCTGCCCTGATAAGCATATTGCTAAATTGTTGTAAATTACAGCTTCAGGGAATAAATAGATTTTTTTGTTTACAACAAAATAAATTTAAACGATAAATACATACAATATATATCTACATTTATAATAATCTAAATGTAAACATTTCTTATGAGAATTTATAAAGCCGAAAAACGTTTTCATTTTTTCAATTTATATATTTTTGCCTAGTCATAATTCCCATAGATAGTTAAATAATGAACAACAAAACGAAAAGAACCGCCCATGATGGGCACTTAACGTTTTATTCCAAGTTCCATTCAGCTCGGCCATAAAAACTAGCTCTCCCCTCTTTGTCCAGCTGTGACAAATCGTAATGAAATTACCACCCAGATATGTACATATATGTGTATACATATAGTCTATAGACACTAGTTGCCAGCTGGTAGCTACCTGTGGCCAAGTGACACTTGTGCAATTATTGTACAGAAAAAAAAAAAAGATATATATGTTCATTGTCAGGTGGCATAGGAACCGAACCCCTCGACAGGTTGTGTTCGGCGATTCCTGGTCCCGGCCAAGAGCCAGGCGGTAGCGTGAAACGAATTGTTTTTCGGTTTTTGTTTTTATACCCTGTAACATTCTAGCTTTAAGAGGGTGGAATGAACTAAAACCTCTGCGTCTTTATGTACTCAACAGGACAAATCTTCATTGCAGAGAGTGTTAGAAATTGGAATATAAGTTATTCTATATCATCGGGCTT